TTCCTGATGCGCCTGTATATTATGGAAGGCATAGGAATGTTTTGAAGGCCTTCTTACCCCGTCCCCCCAGAAGCACACCGCGGATATGTTCAGCACTTATAATTCCGCAATGATCCCCCGCTTATTCAAACTGTGCGCTGTCAGTGTCTACGGAAAATGAAGGTTTGAATCCGCACAGAAGAAGAACGCCACCATAACAGACTTGTTCAGTTCAGTTCAGTTTTTACAACCATTAACCATACACTTTCATGCGCCGGTTATGGTTGCTGTCTTTTGGTTGCCCATTTGGATAAAAAAGTAAAATGAAAATTGGAATGTCGAAGCAAATTCAAGCGGAAGGTGGGGAATTCATATAGAGTGGTGTTAGAAGAATAACGAGTGGATGCACGAGAGCCACTGTTTTCGAAAACCAGCCGTATCACTCAGTTTAGCGAACCATCGGTGACCATCATCCCGAGGTCCCCATCCAGGGAGCCTAACGGACCCATGTGACCCAGATTCCTGGTTAGGGTCTTCATACCTTCATGCCAGGTTTTAGTTTGACCACCTTGGGCTTTCTTCCACCCACTACCTCCTCGGGCAAACATCGGTCGTCGTGGCAACCTATCTGGTGACATACGTAACACATGTCCCAACCAGCGTAATCTATGGAGGTCGATCACTTGCTCTAGTGGACGACCACGACTACCTGAAAACTCTACGCCTAACTCATATTATTCGCCCGGCTACCCCACCAGACACGTGCAATGCTACGTAGACAGCGGTGTCCAAACACCGACAATCTGTTTTTATCCTGTTCCTTTAGTGGCCAAATCTCTGCACCGTAGAGCAGGACTGGTCGAACTGCTGCAACATACACTCGACCCTTCACAGACAGCCGGATGTAGCGACGGCACCAAAGATATCTCAAGTTGGCAAATGCCAATCGAGCCTTTTGTATGCGAGCAGACACTTCATCTGTGATGCGTCCGCCGGGTGAGATATAGCCGCCTAAATAACAAAACTTATCCACCTGCTCTATTATTTCCCCAGTTAGAGTGAACCCGAGTGCTGTACCAATCAGTCTTGAAGTAACATTTTACACTTTGAAGATGCAAAACGCATATCGAACATGGCAACACTAGCATTCAAACTATCCAGAAAGGCTTGTGACTTATCTGAATCTTCACTCAGTAGCACAATGTCGTCTGCATACTCTAGATCAGACAGTTTGCTACTTGGGAGTAAATCTATGTCACTATCCTCGCACGAGGATAGGGATGTTTCCATAATCGGATCTATAACGAAGTTGAGTAGAAAAGGAGAGAGAGGGCAACCCTGACGAACACCACTTTCCGCGGTGAACTCGGGTGAAAAAGTGCCGTTAGCTCGGACTCGACTTTGGCTATTAGTATACATGGATTGTATTATTGAAATAAACTTCTCGGACCTGAGCATGTGCTATTTATTTGCCTGTTTAGGTTAACTGAAACAATATGGGATAGTTATAAAGAACGATGCGAAATTTATAACGGACAAAAGGAAGTACATGTGGTGCTCGTAACTACTGGATTCTTAACCTTACATTATTGAAACAATTACGAACCGCTCATATGAATGTTTCTAAACATGAAGCATATACTTGTCAACGGAAGAGAAAAAGTAACTTTACTCCACTTTAAAGAATGCATGATAATACAAGTATGTGCATTAGTCATCTACCGCACCGTGTTTTACTTGTTTTAGCCGCTTAGGGCCGGAGTAAATCACGTGGAGGTCAACAGATGACATGGAGAGGAGGCCAGAAGAAATGTACAAAGCTATTAGGTGAAGTAAGTGTCTCTCGTGTTCCATGGTAAGGCCCAAAAGACTGGTTGGTTGGAAACAATAAAGGATTGCGATAATCCTAGTTCCCATGATAACTGACACTGCCAGAAACCAGTCCAACTTCCAGTGTCCAAACATGCGTCCAAGCCACAGCACGATAATTCTTGCACCGCAAAATCCATTAACCCATACATTTTTTTGCGGAGCTTACCACCTACACTCGACGTGTCGACGAAAAGTGTCATGGACGCGGAAAAACAGGATACATATGGTGAATGTGTAAACAGCCTCGCTTTAACCTGGCACAACCATCGGTTTAGCAAGCTACAACAAGTCCTGTGTTTACCTCACAAACTCAGAGTAGTTATGCTCGGTCCATGTTGAGATGCGGGGCTGCAGCACAAATTCATTGTGAACACAGGAAGTACGCAGTTTCATTTCATCTGAAGTGCCATGATCGATTTGTCCCGAAACCAAAGTTCGTTAATCGCGAAGTGTTACAACAACGCTGGAGCGCCTGCATGTTTATCCCATTATCCGGAAATTTACCACCATCAACAGGCCGTGGTGATTGTATCAATGCAACTCCTTGACTTCCAGTAAAAGTACTTCATCAGGCATGTTCCAGGCAGCCCTTGATGAGTTCATTCGTGGACTTGATGGTGTTTTGGCAAATCAGGAGGTTATTATATTTTGCACAACCAAGGCTGAACACAACGACTATCTCCTCAAATTACTGGAGCGTTTTGCTCAAAAGAATGTGTGGATTCCGGCGTCCCAATGCATGTTAAGCTCTCCTGAGTTGGACTTTTTGGGATTTCAGAGTTGATTTGAAAGTTAGTGTTCTGACCCTAATCGATTTCGTTCTCTGACTGAAATGGAACCACCAAAAAACATCAACTGATTTCCATCATGAGATGCTTCTAATACTACGTTTCCTCCCGGACTTCGCAACAAAGGCCTAGCGGCAGTTTGCAGCTCAGTCGGCAGAAGAATGGACGCGGACCCCCAAGTGTGAACAAATTTTAAGTGAACGCATCCAGATGATAGCAGAACGACTAGTATCGCGTTTTTATCCGGTGAAATATCGAACGCTGATTACGGACACGTCAGATGCTCGCACTAATACCGTACTTGAACAGGACGGATATCTGAGTGTGTGCATCTCTTGCTTGCTGAATACCGTAGAACGGGGATATTCGCGGACGCAGAAGAAACAGTTCACCGTGTAAATGGCTGTCCTGCGTATGCACAAATATCTGTTTAGACTGCGGTTCACCATTGTGACCGATCACCAAGCAGTGCAACACCTGTTCAGTCCAAACCTATAGCGGCGATGATTCAGAGGTAGAGCACTGCACTAGCGGCTTACGATTACGACAGTGCAAGCCGATTTTCTCTCCAGATGGTCCAGGTTTTCGGCGGCTAAGAAATGCCACTTTATAGCACTAGCAGCTCCGGTATCGCGAGAGGAGTTGCGCAAGTTCACCGAACGCTACTACGTTAATATCATAACAGCCTTAAACCTGAAGAAGATATTCTTATCATTCTATTTTTATTGGGAATGAAAACAGCACAAAATATGGCCCACAAACGATGGTTTGTGTGCACCTGGATGTCCAGCAAGTTTCTTGTTGCAATAGGACCAGCTCTCAGTTGCAATCTATTAGATCCTGCGTTGTTTTATCTGTTATAAAGAGTTAGTTTATTTTCTTCTCTGTCCTGTTTTCAACATGAATTTGTACCAAATTCGAGTGCCAATGTTTACAGTCGTGGTGCTCTTTGGTGCCACTACATACCGTAACCCTTTGCATTCAGTCATCACACTCATGCAGAAACTGAGTCTGGCGGGAAAACTTGCATACCAATACCTTCATAGGTTGCGGTCACATAAAATCCAATGAACTTTAATTAACTGGCTACTTTCATTTCTGTCTCCTGTAGCAATGCTCAAAACAGCATAAAACTAATGGTACACATCATTCCGGACATTAATAAAACAAATGAGACGTGAACGTAATGATTTTTCGTTGCAACGAAGTTCCTTGCTCCCACAATCATGTGAACAAACATTATCAATGCAGCGCGTTGGGATGTGATCCCCCCCCCCTCGGAACTTCTATCCTGGTGCTAATCAGTAAGATTTGCTTCTTCGCCAAGACTCGGAGATACCTTTCACACTGACCGCCTCAAGGTAATCAATAAGCGCCTACGAGTTTAATTGTTTTACGGTGAAAGTTACAGTAATTGTACCAAAAGCAAACTAGCAGCATGGCCACATATGCTTCTAAACGGTACCATGCGCAATTTCCATTTTCGCCTTGTTTTGTCGCGAACAACGAAATGGGCACAACAACACACGCAAAGTCGATGACTGTTTACTCAAACTGGTTATCAAAGAATTCAAACGGTATTTCATTTCGCCTAGCAGAGTGCAACGCATTTGAAATCTGACACAACAAGAAGGCTTGGGTATGGTTTGTAGCACATGACAATATAGTGTTTCCTATCAGTGTGTAGATATGCGACCTGATGAACGTGTTTACTATCGGGACAGCCATATCTCACCTAGAGGGCGAATCACAGATGAAGTGTCGGCCAGCGTACGAAAGGCTCGGTTGCCATTTGCCAGCTTGAGACATCTGTGGTGTCGTCGCGACATCCGGCTCTCTGTGAACGGTCGAGTATATGCTGCGGCAGTTCGGCCAGTCCTGCTCTACAGTGCAGAGACTTGGCCGCTACGGAAACAGGATGAAAATAAATTGTCGGTGTTCAAACACCGCTGTCTTCGTCACATTGAACATTGCTGGTGGGGTAGCCGAACGAGCAATGCTGAGGGTAGGCGTAGAGTTTTAAGTAACCGCGGTCATGGTTATAAAAACAGACTCCAGGTCGTTGCATATACGTGACGTAGTTTGATTTTTCAAATTCAGCAAACCATCTTAAAAGATCCTGTATTTGACTAAAACCATCTGGTAATTTTGTGGCTCATTTTGTCATGAAAATAACAAAATTCGACCCATGGCTGCAGATATTCCTTTACTAGGGTAAAGATCCTGTCATTCAAAGTGGGCAGTGATCGGTCTGCATATAACCGTATCATAAGATCGATCAAAACGGAAGAATTCATGTGTTTGACTGACTCATATACGGAAAAAACGTGACGAATATGTAGCGGAAGATAGGGTACGTACCTTTCCTTTGCTCTTTCCTTAATTCAAGCTTTGCCTCTTGCAGGCGCTCAAGTGCTCGGTTCATTTCCAATTTCAATGACTCCAAGTGGGATTCGGCATCGTGTATCACCTATGATTGGATAGCAAAATATAGAATCTGAACAATGCGTTTTTCGACCTTAGTGCATAGGTGTACTCTTCTATAGGAACCGGAACTGGTGAAATGACAAACCTTTCGTGATTTTCTAATTTAGGATAGGATTTTCACATTAAAAATTCTTTGGTTAAGATCCGTACCACCTTCCCTTTGTTTATGACCTGCTTACTTGCGATGAGATGGCCTTCGCCATGGCAGAGCAGCGTCAACAAAGAATTGAGGTTTATGTTACTTGGAGTGTTCACTGCTAAATTGTTACGCAATTAGGATGAGTGATAAAGGATTAACTGTCGTCATGAAAGAAATGTCTAATAATGGACCAAGTGGGGAGAACTTAGAAAGATACGTAGATATTCGTAGTAGATTCCCATAAGGTTCTCAAAAGCCAAATAAATGTTGCGAACAGGCTTGTTTTTGTAACTTCGACTTCGGGCATTCACGGTTGTATGAGATGAAAAACACGTGATTGTTTCGTTAGGGTACATAGGGAATCTACAACCTCAGCTGTCAACTTTTGGGGGATTATATGAATATGTTTTGGATCTCTTTAGTAATATCTCAACCATGTAACTTGTATAAAATTATTTGTTAGATTCAATTACCTGCCGAGAAAAGTGAACTAAGCTTATGCTTTCGATGCAGTCCTAACACTTTCTAAAGAATCTGTACAGTCGGATGATTGAAAGAAAATTACGTAATCTCGTGAATTTTAGAACAAACAATACGTGAAATTTAAAGTAAACAGACACTGTATAGCCGTTTAGAACTTTTTAATTTTCATCAATTGTGGAAGCACATCGACCCAACTAAGAATCGAACTCGGAATCTCACCGATGATAGGCAAACATATTGTAGCGTGAAACAGAAACTGACTGATGTCCAGTAATTGAATGCCGAATTACTGTTGACAGCTACCTTTCCCTTTCCATTTAAAGACTGTGCAAGTTGTGTGACGCCTAGCACAGTGATGCAAGACACTGAGAACGAAGACCAGAACAAAACCCACAGTTGCTACCTACTACTCAATCGATCCAGTTCTTGAGGATTCTGTTTCTATCGGAGACATACTGCAATATTACTCATTTGATCACCGGGTAACTGGGTAGATAGCCTCACTTCATCCATGCACCATATACTACAACCCATCTTAGTAAGCGTGATCCAGTTATTATAAATCGCTCAACAGAGCTCTAGTTTCCCATGTTGTTTAACTTGATCGGCAAAAGTTCGAACCTAAACGCTTGTTAACAAGTATTAGTGGAAGTTAGAAACATAGGGTCGCCTCTATACATTACATCAATACCGAAAGACGAAAAATGTCTCGTGACGTTAACACTTCGTTAAACCTTCTCCATTGCAGATGTAAAACAATCTGGCGAACATAAAGCACGTTGGGTTGATCAATCAGAGTGAACGAAAATGTACATGCAAACCAAGGTTACCGAAAATGGAGGTAACAAGTCAACCCCACGGTAAATGGATTGATTGCGCCAACAACTATTGAATGTACAAAAATGGGCGACGAAATGTAAGAGTTTAGTATTGTGGTTGCGTAACAGAGGTTTGAAAGACGAAATACAACTAACTGTCTTTTGTTATGAGAAGTTCTGTAGCAGATGACCCCAGGTTTCTCGTGATTTTCTGATCACCGGTTGTCGGTTGCACCAATGATTTCACCAACCCCTTCGAAATGTGATCGGTTTACTAACTATCTGTCATCTAATGTTCAAATATTCATTATTTGTGTCAAACTGGATTTCCAAAATTAGTGGCCAAAATCAGTCAGTCATTTGGTCAATATTTTCAAATCCCCTGTTTTTGTTAGATGCGACCGAATCTGATCATCCCTTATTCTAGTTAAGCTCAGCCGATCCCTTGTCCAAATAATTTCCGGCATACCATTAATTCTTGGGTTGAACAAAATTCAGTTGGCGATCGTCATCTGATATCTACCATATACACTGTTCTGACGTTGGCCCAAAATGCGTTCAATATAAACTTGCTTCCACATATTAAATTTCCTTATAACATCTTAACCACATATAACCCCGACTTTCCTCAGTTACATTACACTTTTGCTTGAACACTGCAACATATTTTTGCGTCTGTAGGGCAGTGTCTTCCAGTGAGTCATGTGATTTACGTTCTAAATGCCTCCCGAAACCTGGTATTGGTATGGTATCATGTTCTTGGATTATACTGCAGGTCAGAACGTAAACACCAAAGATTATTTTCTCAGGTACTTGCAAACCGGATCACCGGTTTAGCCGAATCTCCAGGGTGGCGAGGAGGCAAACCGGCGCTCGATCAGACGAACGTTACACCCAGGGTACCAATGTACCCTAGCTTTCAGTCAGGTGGGTACGGTTCGTGACTACTGTGTCCCGCGACCCGTTTGGAAGTTCCTTATCGAGAGACTAACTCAGAGAATCTAAGATATCGGTGAAGAATTAGTTGCCTTCGGCTTATCCACTCAGGTATGACATCGAACACTGGATTTCCGTCCACACACTTTGATTGGAGCACCCTCACAATAGCAAGGCAAAGAGATGGGCTTCCCACGAAGTGCTTTTCGTAGAGGTATATCCTGGAGTTAAGGACGTTTCGAGCCTAAGAGAAACGGAGGATTTTGGGGGTGGATGGAGACGACGTGTGAATGTCAATCCCCAGACACTTAAAAGAGACGGGGCATTGAATGAGAGACTTGTTAATATATGTCACGTTAGGCTACCTAATTTCTGACTACGTCGCTAGCCTAATCATTATTTGCGGGCATTTAGTTGAGGATGTGTGGTAAATGACACTCATGCATCTACGCACTCCTGGTATATCAGTATTTGTCTTTGTTCTGACACTGTTTTTATCTATATGCTCCCTTCTCTATTGATCAGCCGAAAGGATGGACAAAAAATGAAAATCAATACAATCCCATGACTTATTGATTCGCCTTCGTTTTGGGAATAGAAATTACTCGATAGTTCCCTTTCTTTTCTTTCTCATTTCTACTTCCTTTGATTGAATACATAATGATACAGTTTTCAAGAATTGGGAAGCGACCAATCGAAGGACTGCCATATAATACAAACATACGTCCGCCTCGGTGATAATTTGGGCCATCGCTGCCCAGTGATTAATGTGAAAGCATGCCTTGCTCACTCACTGGCGGTGAGTATTGTACCGACCCCTGCCAAGCCTTCGCAGTTGACACAGTCTCTCCTATTTGGACCTATCTTTTGTTCAAGGTAGTTCAACGTACACCTGGCCGAGATCAATCACACCGTGGATGTGCCGGAATCGATCGGTCCATTCTATTAAATGACGCGGATCCAATCCAAGGATGGTAAAGCCCGATTGCCGTCTACAGCATGGACCATGACGATTAGAATAAACAAAGCCTTACTTTGTGCACACAAACAGTTCATTAACTCCCTCCCGTGGCCATTTGTCTGAAGTGTCTCCACCTAAGATTTCAGTCGACTATTCGCACTCCGCAAGCTATAATTACTAATTATGTGATCAGTGTTGGAACATCCGCCTCCCAACCCCAAACTTCCATTTTACACATACTAAAACCCTGAATTGCTGTCACCCCGTGTTATTTCCCCAAGTTATATAATGTGCTATAATTGGCCAGTAGATCAAGCGCTGAAAACAAGCTTGTTCGCCAAATCCGTTTTTCTAAAGAATCCATAAAAATTACTTAATCGGAGTATAAACTTACAGACCTAGATTCCTTTCCATTTTTACCTGAATTGTCACCTTTGAGCTCCAGCTACAATTTGACTTTACAATACCTAGCTTTCATTAATTTGTTTAACGTCATTTCACGACTGAACTATCGTTATACAACTACTGTGGCCTTACATCATAGTTCACATGAAATCTCTACGTCTGTCCGGGCATTTTAGGTATATCTCAAAAGTTCATACAGAGAGAAAACTTTTTTCGAGAACTGTTAATGGTAGCAATGGACAATTTATTTCATAGCGCCACTACTGTCATTTGAATACTCACTTTTTCCAATAAAGCCATATTTTCATACCCCTTTTGTTGAGCATTATCATACTCGTCCATTCTTTTCCTCAATTCCTCATGTGCCTTAAACACCTGGAGTAGAAATAACGATAATAACCAGTCACAACTTATTTGATGGTGAGAGACTGAGTGATATGGCTGTGTCGTAAACGGTAGCGTTTGTGCATCTTCGCAATTTCTTTGCAACCTTAAACTATTGAAATTCACCATTTTTTGTTCGACTCTGCTTTCAACTTTCCTATCTTTTCCTATTCTTCATCTAAATTGGTAGCCAAAATACACCAACCAAAGTGGGCGCACGAAAGTGCATGGTTGAACAAAGTGAACTGAAATGATCTGATTCCTTTAAATTTTTGTCGCAAAAGTCACCCTAGATAATGAACAAACGTTTTCATTTATTTACTACGGTTATTTCCCTTTCACTTGACCCCAACTGCTAACATGGTTGAAGGAATGAGAAGTTAAGAGTAACCACTGTCTTCAACTTCTTTACTTGATAAAAGTATGAAATAAAAACACCAATGCACATATTGAACGATAAAGGATGCTTCTGTATTCTTCAGTACACATCATTTGTTTATTACTTTACTCTTCATCTGCATATTATATATACATATAGTAGCATAAACTAAACTAGAACCTATTAGAAACTAGTGGAAACACCGAAGGTGATGAACATCGACTTTGAAGCTGAACTCCGGGAACTTCGACTACAAACCCGAACTTTACAGTTTAAGTCCGGTTATGAACGCATGAATAATAAGTAGAGTTGATGCGTTTCAGCGAGGATGAACTAGCCATTCACTATACTATCTCTACCGTTGCACAAAATTCTATCTTAAATAAGATGCATTACACAATTGAACAATCGAAATTCTTCAACGGAATGAAACTCACACAATCAGTTCAGAACACGGATACTGGAGTATACGCATTCCACGGGTTAAGTACTTTGCAGGAGAAACCAAATGAGATCGATTTATAAGTCCGTATTTAACAGCTAACTACTTGTATGCTTGTCAGTAGTCAGCTAAGGGCACGCTTCTGGCCGGAGAAAGTTGTCGTGTTAATCGTAAGAAATGAAATTCAACAAAGATCATCAAGGGGGGTATCCACACATAAGTGACTCCTACGACGTCCAAAGAAATACGCTAAGTTAACATAAGAACACACACAAGGTCCGAAATTACCGGAACGGCCCAGTAAACATTTTGGCCCNCGTCACTTGTTTTCCCATATTTGTCACTTATCCAATGAAACAACACAACCAAGTAGCAAATGGGTGATCGGGTTCAAGTTCCCATCCCCACCCTCATATGAATAATGTAACATGTTTAAATGTATGTTTTTAATGGCGGTGACCGGTTTCTGAGAAAAGATGGCTAAGCGGCAGCTTCGTCCTGATATAGAGATACTGCTAAAAACTGTATGCTGCGTTATTCTCGTGCTATGGTGGAACGCATAGTTTGATAAAAAGTAAATCAAACTTGACCTGTTATTGCTGCTTCAGTTTTTACACTTTCCATTTTCTCTGTGGTATCAGGATGTGCTGCTGTTGCGCGAAAATTAAACCAAAAAGTAAAAGTAAATGGTTCTCTAACCTAATAAGGTTAGATAACCATTTACTTAAGTATTTTTATTACGGTTGTTGAATGTCGTTCGGTTGTTCTCCGGCATTGTGAATTAAACTACCAGCACTAATTGTCGGTGTCTGTCTCGTAACTTATCAGTTTAGTCCGATGAATGAATATGTTTGTTTCTGAAGAAGTGTATGAAAAATGAATAGATAACTTCAAAGATTGGATGTTAATTCAAGCTTGATACTCTAAAAACAACTCACTGTTATTTAAAGACAAAAAGCATACCTTTTTCTGAGATACCTGATAATTTTTCTCCAGATTTTCTGTTTCCTGTTTCAAACTGTTTTTATGGAAAGCACAAAGTTTTCGGATTACAGAAATAATTGAGCCTACCTTTCAAGCATCGCTTGTGCACCTTTGTTGTACTGCTCACCCTGTTGGTTCCGATAGAAACTGATTTGTTTGAGAAGGCGGTCTGTTTCTTCAATGTTCCACGCCTGAAGTAGTTCGTGTATTGTGCCCTCAGTGGCCACCTAAAATCAATGATATCAAGCAAACGTGTTTATATATATATATATATATATATATATATATATATATCAGCGGCTTATGGACAAGCATGGCGCCAACTTGAAAAGAAGCTGATAAATAGCGAAGCTTTGAGTACAAATGAGGAAAATGTGGAGAAACGAATTATAGAGTAGCGGAGATACAAGAAAAGCGATAGTATTTGTTTGTTTTATCTTGCTCTTTTGATTACTTTGTTTGAAATATAACGCTAAGCTTGACTAAAGGGTTGACTAAGCGTTGCGTTTCAATCTCTATTACAGGTACGTGTCTTTTCTGGAGGCGAAAGTTACACATGAGATTAACAACCGTTCTAATGTCCATTATCTCGCAGTGCACAGTACTAGTGTGACCACCTGGGATTGAGTGTGCGTGGTGTGCATCTCCTATTGGACCACTGGGTTCGTAGATGTTAGTGTTACCTCAGCCATGTAGGACCCGAACTGAGTTGCTCCTGACAGTTTTCAATAGATTTCAAGGATTTTTTTATATTACTGTATTTGCGATGATTAACCTGGTCTAAGGTTTTTAATTTTTAATCTATGCTGGAACGAGTGCAATCAGAGGAAGATACTGTTCAGATCGGAATGCAAATGAAAACATTGTATAGAAAAAGTGAATATGTGCTATATTAAGCACTCATTTGATACATATCGCTGAAAGCTTACTACTATTGTTACGCGAGATTCGATAAAACTGTGCATTTAGGGTATCTATTGGGTAGAACGCAACGACAGGAAACGACAAAAGGTAAAAAAGAGGACAGAAGATAAGAAAAACAACAACAATACAAGAGGTTGCGATGCTTCTGAAAGTGATATCATGAATAAAGCAAGAGGAGGAGCTGAGCTAAAGAGCAGAAGGTATGAATAACATTTTTCTTAAGAATATATTTCCGAACATAATCTTCAGTAAGTTCAATGGAACACATCCTGGAGCAATACTGTATTTGAGGAACTCATCATTAGCACATGTTCACCGATGTGTTCAGAGTATGAACTTCAAACACACAAGTCTCTGTTCTCATTTTGATTAATCCTCTCAATAAAAACTTTGTGTAATAGAGAGTGACAGTTCAGTTTTAACAGCCAGCAAAGTCCATACAGCGAATGAGTTAGGCCGGAATGCATTTTAAGGATGAAAGACTGCAGTGTTTCTCTTGGTAATTAAATTTTTTCGCAAGGCCTTTTAGTCAAAGTGCCCACTTTTTGCTTCCAGCGTCCAGAATATACTTTTATTTGACCGGAAATAGCGTTTTGTAAATGGTCAACGACTTTACATTTAAGTATGCTATAAAAGAGGATGCGATGTGTGTTCGATTACTTCACTCGTAGAAGAGACCCAATTTCGATGTTTTTATGTGTTGGGACGAAGATCATTGCTATTCGCCCCAAGATAAACCGGGCTAATTCTGTGGGGAAAAAATCGAACAAATTTACAACACATTCGACCCACATTAGGGTAATCTTGGATCAATACTAATCTCGCGGAGATTTATCAATAATATTGCGTCGTACGGCATTACTCACTCAGTCCGTCCGTCTGATCCGTGGCCTATGACCGATTGAACTTTGCTCAGTGTGTACTTGATTGGTACAATCTTTTTCTCGCATTGATCGATGTTAATTTGAATCACATATAAGCATCAGAGTAAAACTTGAAAATTGACCCGTGACTTGTGCTCAACGCCATTGAAATCCCGTGCTGCTGAAGCCGCGTCTTCTCTCTCGTATTTTGGGAGGCCTGAGAGATCGATAGCCGACCGTGCGTCCTGTATTCCGCCTAGATAGCTTCCACTCCTAGATCTATCTATCTATCTATCATCCGCTCACGGACTTAGTGTTAGTCCACTGTTCTCGTGTTCCCGTGTGCTACTACTGTTACTGTGCTATATCTTGTTCTTTGCACTTGTGGTGTTCTCCTGTGATATAGTGCTGAGCGACACAATAGTAGGCAACGGATTTAGGTGGAGTAAAACATGACAAATTGGCGACGTAGCAGCATGTAATTTAATTAGTGAAATCCTGCAGTACAGATACCATTTACGATTGAATTGATTTCTTTCCAATGGTATTTTAGAAGGCTGATCCACCGAACTGTACGAGGACTGCATTGCTCCCATACATAGCTAATGCGGGTAACATTATATCTGGGTATTCAGTTTGATATCCGCATAGCCCGTTCTTCAACCCATAAGATAATGTTTTCACCGAGTTTAAGATAATAATCACGAACCGCTTGGCGCCATGTTGAGAGGACAAGTTGCAAGTGTCGGAAGGGGCCACAATGAGAAACCACTGAGATCAACTTCTAGATGATGCTTGCCGCTTCAAATTTCGAAGTATTTCACAGTTCGTTCGTGCTGTTTATGATTGACATGCACCTACGTTCACTTAAAGCGCTCTCTCGAAAAAACTCTGGGGAAAATTACAATAACTGAGTGTGAAGTATTATTGCTCCGGACGTAGACGTTCTGGATTGATCGAGTCATCTTACTGGGATTTTTAAAGTCAGAAAACAGCACGAAAAGAGCGCAGTTTGAAGAAAAACTGCGAAATGTTATAAAGGTAACTCACTGCTAAATCCTAAGTGCTGGAAGTATGTAAAGACGCAGTGCACCGACAATCTCCTCGCTGAAGTTTGCACCTATTCCTGGTCTAGCCCGTGCACGGTCACGTGGACTGAGTTTTCAGTTGAGTCTTGGTGTGCTCCCTAGTCTTTGCGACCTTTCTCTGGATTTTTTCCCACTGTCGGACGTCGGCCATTTGCAAAACACCTTTTCTAACCAAAAAATGTACATTCCGACTGTGATGCTAGCTACTGTACGAATTAGAAACAAGGTTCGTAAACCTTAAACGATGGATAAACTACCACTGCAAACACGGGATTTGGCATGATTTTCATTTCGCATGGTCGCCGAGCTTGGCAGTTTGTTTGCGAATGTTTTATCGCCAGCCGGGGTGATATCATCAGTGCTTATGAAGTGACCACTTCACTGATGACCTCAGACTCATAATTTTGCCAGTATAAGGTTTGAGAATACGGATGATTCATAGCACTTGGTACATTTGGTTGCCCAAGTAAGATTCAGCGTTGTTTAACTTTGAGCATCCGAGAGATGAAAAAGTCGCATACTACACTTTCTCGTGTATTTTCATTTTCCAACACCATATCGTTTATCTCTTTGAAAACTTCAAATGGGAAGATTCCTCGTGTATAGCGCAAATAACGCGTGAACTGAAAGGCTAGGAAGTACTGTACAGCTGTTTCGACTTGATTGGATCTCATCAGCAGTGCGAATCCATCGACTCAATTGAGGATCGATTGATTACTATTTGGCTTCAACTGATAACAGTCTCAAGAATCTCAAATCATTTTTGTTTTCAGTTCTCACTTAGCAAAAACCTATTTGTCAGCTTGTGAAAACACCTAAAAAATGACAGTAAAAAATTTCAATTAATGCGCACCGACAACAAGTGCTTCCCACTTACATCGCTCGGTCTTTGTCCATCTTCGGTACACAGGCGTGGATCAGCTCCATGTTGTAAAAGGACCTGTTTGCGAATATTATCGATCAGGATAGTTAGATCACCTGAACCACTTCGAAGTGTCCTCCAAAGGCAGCACGATAAAGCGGCGTTCGTCCGTACTGTCCTTTGCTGTTCACATCTGCACCCTCAGCAATTAAAAATAGCACTGCCGCTAAGGACCCACCAACTGGAACGGAGGAACAGAGATGAAGACAATACGCTATGTGAACCAACTGCAAGCCTCAGATAAAGCGGAATTATTATTCGGATCACGACATTCAATCAGCTGCATTTTGTGCCTTAACCTGGTTGCTTGACCGATATCATCATATCCAACCCCACGGGCGTTATCCTCATCCATAACCTACAAAACGGATTCTATTTTGGAATATGAATTATTCTAACAACCTCTTTGAGTAACAATCGCATTTCATTGTCCTTGCCTTCATACGCACATTCGAGCATGCGTTTCTTTCTGGCGTTTTCCAATTTCTGTCGTTGTTCTTCTTCCAACTCCTTGGCCCGTTTTCGTTCTTGTTCTTTTCGGTAACGATCAACCATCTGCAAATATGCATTCTGGCACAGTTCTTCCATACGGGCTTCATACTGCAACTGAGAATAGGCAAAAATCGATTGTCCTGGTCAGTAGGATTGGCAAACCTTTTCCTTCACTCGTTGTTGTCGTTCTTTTTGAGCGAGCCATCTACGAATGTACTTCTGAATTACTACTGCGGCCGCACTCTTCTTAGCTGACACAGGGACCTCGTTTTGAAAGGCGTCCATTGAAGTTTCATTGTGTAGTACAGGCGGTGGACTGGGGGCTAGAATGTGTTTAGATAGAAAAAATAAACTCCAATTTCAAAGTCCAATTAAACAAAATCGGACGAACAGTGCCGGGGAGCTGCATAGTGCAACGTGACTATGTCAAGGTTTGAATAAGAAACCACTGGGTTGCGAGTAGAAAGCCTTACCCATGAAAAGTTCGGCAGACGGCTAATATCTGGAATGCACAAATGTATTCGCTTTTGGTGCTCTGGTGTGGCCCATGAGAGCTGACGGATACTAGAGCCTGTAGATTATTCATCTGTACGAATCTTATTCTTTGATTTCCCAACAATATCTGATCATTCAATTTGGATCGATAATTTGTTTAGGTACAATAATAGAACACGTAGCACCGTACTCAGGGTCTCGACAATCCATTATAAAGGACAGAAGGAGGAGTTTCG